AGAAGGAGAAAGACAGCAAAAAGAGAACGAAAAACTAAGACAAGAAAGAGAGATAGAAGCTAATCAAAGATATCAGGAAAGAGTACAAAAACAGCAAGAAGGAATAGCAGAAAAAGAGAGACAGAAAATACTAAGAAAACAACAAGAAGATTTAAAACGGCAACAAGAGGAAGTATTAAGAGTACAAAAAGAACAGGAAAAACTGAGAAGAGAAAGAGAAGAAGCAAAAAATCAAGAAGAACTATTAAGAATACAACAAGAAGCAAGAGAGCAAGAAGCACTTAGATTACAGCAAGAAGAAATGTTTGCAGCACCAGCCGAATCTCCTATAGAAGTTGAAGTCAATCCACGCTTAAACACAAAGACCTATGATATCCTAGTTCAGATGAAACAGGATTTAGATGAACAAATCACACACCTAACTACCAAAATAGCAATTTCCAAGAAAGTTATTAAGAAATGCAATAGTGAAATAAACAAGGCAAAAAGAATAATCAACAAAGACAAAACCCCAGATGATGTTACAGCAGCAAAAAGACTGAAGCAAAACAAGGAAAGGGACAAAAGGAAAGAAAACAGAACACTTTTACAAAATCAAAAAGATCTAACAGAGGTTGAAAGCCAACTGGCTAGAACAGCTGATTTTATAACAGCTGAATCACTGAGCGATGATGATATCAATGAAATTAAAAGGAATAGAGAAAGAATAGAAGAAAGAAAAAGAGAATCAACACCAGAACTACTTAAAAGCCCATATAAACCAGAATCAAGAGGTAGATCAACCAGGAGCACTCACAGTACATTCGTGAAGACACCACTTCCACGTAGTTTGGCAGATGAGCTGAAAGAGGCAGCTGAATTAGAAGCAGCTATGGAAACAAAACCCCAGGAAACAGTGGAACAAGGGGAAGAATTACACACCAAAATGTTGCGACAAAAGAAGAATAAAAACAGAGGAGGCATAGGGTACAAGGTACAGCGAAGACCATTAACTGGTAGAGAAGAAGAAATACCATTGCCTATTAAGCCAAAAGAGCAAATTGAACAAGATATTCCTAGAATGATAGTACAAGAAGAAACAAGTATACCAGTAGAAGAAGCAGAAATGCTGGTAACGGAATCAGATATGCCAGTAGAAGAAGCAGAAATGCCAGTAGAAGAAACAAAGATGCCAGTAACGGAATCAGATATGCCAGTAGCGGAAATAAATATGCCACCAGTAGAAACAGAAATGCCAGTAGTGGAACCAGATATACCAGTAGAAGAAGTGACAAATGT